GGGAACCGGTCTGTCAGTGGGATCCGAACCCTCGGCGGGAGCGCCGCCGCGCTCCCAAGCAGCGCACTGTAGCAGTGCGCCACCGGGCCGGCCCATGCACAGTGTCTTTGGAAAGCAATCCCCAGTAAACCCCAGGCTGGGCCATCACCTCCCTGGGAACTGGGTCCTGTGTTCTGCCATTGTTGTCCTGATCTCTGGGCTGGTGTTTAGCTCGCTGAGGGCACAGACAGGGTCTGTCTGAAACAGGGTTAGGGTTACTGCTGAAACAGACAAAGGACGTACAAGGGGACTTCACAAAGTTTGTGGAAACAGACTTAAAAGACTATGAATTTTTCCATGAACTTTTTGAAGTCCCCTCATAAGTTCTACCCAACTGCCCTGTCTCTGGTTTTGCACAAAATCACACCAACAGTGTTGAGAAGTCTGGGGAATCTCGGCGGACTGAGGCCGGGCGCCCCCCAATGGTACCCAAGGGAGGCCAGGCGGAGGCCTCCAGGCCAGGCTGTGTGGCTTTGGCTGGAGTTTGCTGTGCTGATGCCAAGGTGTATGTCAGCCTCAGGCCGGCCAGCAGTGACTCACACTGGGCTCCAACCCAGCTCCGGGAGGTGACCCAGGACAGCGGCCTTACTTCCCCCTCCAGGGCTGGGGCTCAGGGTCACTGCCCATTTTTGCTGGGCTGTACAGAGATCCTAAGAGGCATTGCCTGCCCTACCCTAAGGAGCCCCCAACCTGAGAGCCAGACCCAGACACCCGGCCTGGCTTTTTAGGACGTATGTTAGAACACACCCCTCCCTCCCTCGCTCTAAACCCTCTGTGGCTCCCTGGTGCCTCCTCAATAAAATGCAAACTATATTTCTTCCTCTCGGAGGGCCCACCTGGTCAGTCCCTGTGGATCTCCTGCCCTCTTCTGCCTCGCTCTCCTCTGGCTACACCAACCTCCTGGAGGTTCCTAATCCTGCCCAGCTCCCTCTCTCCTCAGGGCCTTTGCCCAAGCCATGTCCTCTGCCTGGGAGACCCCTTCCCTACTCTTCTGAGGACAATTCCTTCTCCCACTTTTGGGCTGCACTCCCTGACTGGCCTGTCCCACCCCATTTGATTCCTTCCTACCTAGCGGTCTTACACCCCGCATGGAGTTGTGTCCTCAGACCTGGGGCAGATCCCAACACACATTAAGTGCTCAGATAATGCCCAAGGGATGAAAGACTGGAGCTGCCTCCAGATACATAGAGGGGGAGATTTTGGGGTCCCCTCTGTGCTTAGAACCCTAACTTTCTGCTCAGGGTGAGCAGCAATAGGTAGCAACCACCATGACTTTCAGCCCTGACCCAGGCCTTGACCCCAACCCCTAGTTCTGCCTTCTAGAATCCCCTCCCCCCAAGAGTGGGCAGGGATTGGCCGGAACCTGGCTGTAAGTCACAAAGCCGCTGTGACACCAGGGCCCCAAGGCCGGCCATTCGGGCTGGTGGGTTCAGCTTCAGGGGCAGGTGAGTGGGGCTGGTAGAGCACTTGTGTGGGGGGGTACATGGGGAGCCCTGTTGTTCTTTGGCCCCCGGAACCTTCAAAGTCCTTCTGGGCCCTCCAGGCTACACTGAGCAGTGGGTCAGCTCCTCAGCACCTCAGAACAGGGGGCCCCCAAAGCCTTATGGTGGGTTTGTCTGCCTGGGCGGGGGGCATGCTGGAGACCCCGTCACATCTCACTGGGAGCTTGGAGATGGTGGTCTTAGCTTGTGTGACAGATAGGGAAACAGGCTCAGATGGGTTTACTCAAAATTGCCGAGACAGCCATTCGGTTTATGTGTTGGGGGCCCCTATTTTTTCTGTTTTCTGTTCATCCGTTGGCTCACTAGGATTCATTTGATTGAGTTCATGGGAAGGGCTGGGGCTGGCCTGTTGGCTCAGTTGGTTAGAACGTGGCGTTGATAATGCCAAGATCAAGGGTTCAGATCCCCATACCAGCCAAGAAAAAAAAAAGGGCTGTTCCATGTAGTTGCTGAAACTTCAGAGCCTGGAATAGAACCATTTAGATCCTGAAACTGCTACCTCCAAGTTCTGAAGCTTGGGCCACATTCATTCATCATCCATCCATCTATCCATTCATTCATTTATTCAGCCATAAACATCTATTGAGCACCTATGGTGTGCACCCTTCTAGGCGCTGGGGATTCAACAGCAAACAAGAGACAGACGTCCCCACCCTCGGGCAGCTCTTAGTCTAACAGAGGAGGCCAATAAGAAACAACATAAAGAATAAGACACAGTGTGTGTCGGCTTCTCTGGACCTTAGGTTCCTCTCCGTGAAATGGACGGTGACTGCACCTACCTGCAGGGCAGCCAGGCGGGTTGAGTGATCTCACAGCCCTGGCTTTATGAGTCAGTCTACAGTGATGCTTGTTATGAATGGGCCCATCCTGGGGCTGGGAGTAATGAGCAGTCAGGGATGGACATTCAAGCCATCACACAGATGAAGGCAGAATGTTCGTTGTGAAAGGGGGAGGCACGTGGTCCAGGCTGGAGGTTAGCTTGAGCTGGAACCAAAGGGTAAAGTGGGCTAATCTGGGAGGGGCAGGGTGTAGCCACGAGAGGGCAGGGGGAGAACACCTGGTAGTAGCACCTGCGTGTGCAGACGCCCTAGGTGGGACCAGGCACATCCAGTTGAGGCTAGAAAGGAGGCCCCGGTGGCTGGAGCAGAGTGAGGTGAGGGGGGATCTCTATCCTACTACCCGCCACTCCCCCACGATCACTGTGTGCAGACGTGTTACTAACCCGCTACCTCCCCCGTTTATCATCTGCCTGCGTACCTGGTGTCCCCAGCCCCTCCAAGTGCCTGGTACTCACATAGTAAGCCCTTAATAAATGTCGACTGA